TGTCTTTTCATCTTATTTATGGTTTCCTTTGCTGTGCAAAAGCTTTTAAGTTTCATTAGGTCCCATTTGTTTATTTTTGTTTTTATTTCCCTTACTCTAGGAGATGGGTCAAAAAGGATCTTGCTGTGATTTATGTCATAGAGTGTTCTGCCTATGTTTTCCTCTAAGAGTTTTATAGTGTCTGGCATTACATGTAGGTCTTTAATCCATTTTGAGTTTATTTTTGTGTATGGTGTTAGGGTGTGTTCCAATTTCTTCATTTTACATGTGTCTATCCATTTTTCCCAGCACCACTTATTGAAGAGGCTGTCTTTTCTCAATTGTATATTCTTGCCTCCTTTATCAAAGGTAAGGTGACCATATGTGTGTGGGTTTATGTCTGGGCTTTCTATCCTTCCCATTGATCTATATTTCTGTTTTTGTGCCAATACCATATTGTCCTGATTACTGTAGCTTTGTAATATAGTCTGAAGTCAGGGACCTTGATTCCTCCAGCTCTGTTTTTCTTTCTTAAGTTTGTTTTGGATATTTGGGATATTTTGTGTTACCATACAAATTGTAACGTTTCTTGTTCCAGTTCTGTGAAAAATGCTTTGTAATTTAATAGGGATTGCACTGAACCTGTAGATTGCTTTGAGTAGTATAGTCATTTTCACAATATTGATTCTTCCAATACAGGAGCATCGTATATATCTCCATTTGTTTACGTTATCTTTGATTTCTTTCATCAGTGTTTTATAGTTTTTTGAGTACAGGTCTTTTGTCTCCTTAGGTAGGTTTATTCCTAGGTATTTTATTCTTTTTGTTGTGGTGGTAAATGGGATTATTTCCTTAATTTTTCTTTCTGATCTTTCATTGTTAGTGTGTGTATAAGAATGCAAGAGATTTCTGTGCATTAGTTTTGTATCCTGCAACCTTACCAAATTCATTGATTAGTTCTAGTAGTTTTCTGGTGGCATCTTTAGAATTTTCTATGTATAGTATCATGTCATTGTCAAACAGTGACAGTTTTACTTCTTCTTTTCCAATTTGTATTGTTTTTATTTCTTTTTCTTCTCTGATTTATGTGGCTAGGACTTCCAATACTATGCTGAATAATAGTGGTGAGTGTGGACATCCTTGTCTTATTGCTGATCTTAGAGGAAATGCGTTCAGTTTTTCACCATTGAGAATGATGTTTGTTGTGGGTTTGTCATATATGGCTTTTATTATTTGAGGTAGGTTCCCTCTATGCCCAATTTCTGGAGAGCTATTATCATAAATGGGTGTTGAATTTTGTCAAAAACTTTTTCTGCATCTCTTGAGATGATCATATGGGTTTTATTCTTTAATTTGTTAATATGGTGTATCACATTGATTGTTTTGCATATATTGAAGAATCCTTGCATCCCTGGGATAATCCCACTTGATCATGGTGTATGATCTTTTTAATGTGTTGTTGGATTCTGTTTGCTAGTATTTTGTTGAGGATTTTTGGGTCTATGTTCATCAGTGATATTGGTCTATAATTTTCTTTTTTTGTGATATCTTTGTCTGTTTTTGGTATCAGGGTGATGGTGGCCTTCAACACGCTTGGGAGTGTTCCTCCCTTTGCAATTTTTTGGAAGAATCTGAGAAGGATAGGTATTAGCTGTTCTCCAAATGTTTGATAGAATTCACCTGTGAAGCCGTCTGGCCCTGGACTTTTGTTTGTTGGAAGATTTTAAATTACAGATTCAATTTCATTATCTGTGATTGGTCTGTTTATAATATCTAATTCTTCCTGGTTCAATCTTGGAAAGTTGCACTTTCCAAGAATTTGTCCATTTCTTCCAGGTAGTCCATTTTATTGGCATAGAGTTGCCTGTAGTAGTCTCTTATGATCTTTTTTATTTCTGTGGTTTCAGTTGTAATCTCTCCTTTTGCATTTCTAATTTTATTTTATTTTTTTAATTTATTTTTATTTTTAATTTTATTTTATATTTTTTGCGGTACACGGGCCTCTCACTGCTGTGGCCTCTCCCGTTGTGGAGACAGGCTCCAGACGTGCAGGCTCAGCAGCCATGGCTCATGGGCCTAGCCGCTCCGCGGCATGTGGGATCTTCCCGGACCGGGGCACGAACCCGTGTCCCCTGCATCGGCAGGCGGACTCTCAACCACTGTGCCACCAGGGAAGCCCCATTTCTAATTTTATTAATTTGAGTCCTCTCTCTTTTTTTCTTGATGAGTCTGGCTAAAGGTTTATCAATTTTGTTTATCTTCTCAAAGAACCAGCTTTTAGTTTATTGATCTTTGCTACTGTTTTCTTCATTTCTATTTCTTTTATTTCTGCTCTGATCTTTATGATTTCTTTCCTTCTACTAACTTTGGGTTTTCTTTGTTCTTCTTTTTCTAGTTGCTTTAGGTGTAAGGTTAGATTGTTTAGTTGAGATTTTTCTTGTTTCTTGAGGTGAGCTTGAATTGCTATGAACTTCCCTCCTAGAACTGCTTTTGCTGCATCCCATAGGTTTTGGGTCATTGTGTTTTCATTGTCATTTGTTTGTAGGTATATTTTTATTTCTTCTTTGATTTCTTCAGTGATCTCTTGGTTATTTAGCAATGCACTGTTTAGCCGCCATGTATTTGTGTTTTTTACATTTTTTTTTTCCTGTAATTGATTTCTAATCTCATAGCATTGTGGTTGGAAAAGATGCTTGATGTGATTTTAATTTTCTTAAATTTTCAAGGCTTGATTTGTGACCCAAGATGTGATCTATTCTGGAGAACATTCTGTGTGCACTTGAGAAGAAAGTGTATCCTTCTGCTTTTGGGTGGCATGTCCTAAAAATATCTATTAAGTCTATCTGGTCTATTGTGTCATTTAAAGCTTGTGTTTCCTTATTTATTTTCTGTCTGGATGAACTGTCTACTGGTGTAGGTACGATGTTAAAGTTCCCCACTATTATTGTGTTACTCGATGGTTGTTAGCATTTGCCTTATGTATTGAGGTGCTCCTCTGTTGGGTGCATAAATATTTATAATTGTTATGTTTTCTTCTTGGATTGATCCCTTGATCATTATGTAGTGTCCTTCCTTATCTCTTGTAACAGTCTTTATTTTAGAATCTATTTTATCTTATATGAGTATTGCTCCTCCAGCTTTCTTGTGATTTCCATTTGCATGGAATATCTTTTTCCATCCCATCACTTTCAGTCTGTATGTGTCCCTAGGTCTGAAGTGGGTTTCTTGTAGACAGCATATATAAGGGTCCTGTTTTTGTATCCATTCAGACAGTCTATATCCTTTGGTTGGAGCATTTAATCCATTTACCTTCAAGGCAATTATTGATATGTATGTTCTTATTATCATTTTCTTAATTGATTTGGGTTTGTTTTTGTGGGTCTTTTTCATCACTTGTGTTTCCCACTTAGAGAAGCTCCTTTAGCATTTGTTGTAAAGTTGGTTTGGTGGTGTGAGTTCTTGTAGCTTTTGCTTGTCTGTAAAGCTTTTGATTTCTCTGTTGAATCTGAATGAGATCCTTCCTGGGTAGAGTAATCTTGGTTGTACGTTTTTCCCTTTCTTCACTTTAAATATGTCCTGCCACTCCCTTCTGGCTTGCAGAGTTTCTGCTGAAAGATCAGCTGTTAACCTTATGGGGATTCCCTTGTATGTTATTTGTTGCTTTTCCCTTGCTGCTTTTAATATTTTTCTTTGTATTTAATTTTTGATAGTTTGTTTAATATGTGTCTCGACATGTTTCTCTTTGGGTTTACCCTATATGGCACTCTCTGAGCTTCCTGGACTTGATTATTTCCTTTCCCATGTTAGGGAAGTTTTCAACTATAATCTCTTCAAATATTTTCTCAGATCCTTTCTTTTTCTCTTCTTCTTCTGAGATTGCTATAATTCGAATGTTGGTGCATTTAACGTTGTCCCAGAAGTCTCTGAGACTGTCCTCAATTCTTTTCAGTGTTTTTTCTTAATTCTGCTCCCCAGCAGTTATTTCCACCATTTTATCTTCCAGTTCACTTATCTGTTATTCTGTTATTATCAGTTATTCTGCTATTGATTCCTTCTAGAGTATTTTTAATTTCATTATTGTGTTGTTCATCACTGTTTGTTTGCTCTTTAGTTCTTTGAGATCCTTATTAAACGTTTCTTGTATTTTCTTCACTCTGTTGCTGAGATTTTGGATCATCTTTACTATCATTACTCTGAATTCTTTTTCAGGTAGGTTGCCTATTTCATCTTCATTCATTTGGTCTTGCTCCTTCATCTGTAACATATTTTTTGTTGTTTCAATTTTTTTTTTTTTGATGGGTGGGGCTGTATTCCTGTCTTACTGGTTGCTTGGCCTGAGGCATCCAGCACTGGAGTTTACTGACAGTTGGGTGGAGCCAGGTCTTGGTGCTGAGATGAGGACCTCCAGGAGGCCTCACACAGATTAATATTCCCTGGGGTCTGAGGTTCTCTGTTAGTCCAGCAGTTTGGACTCGGGGCTCCCACCACAGGAGCTTGGGCCCAACCTCTGGCCTAGGAACCAAGATCCCAGAAGCCATGTGGTGTGGCAAAAAGAAAAGAAAAGAAACAAAGGAGCAGTACAATAACAGAATACAAAATGAAATTAAATTAAAATTAGAAAGATAAAAAATATATTAGGAAAAATAAAAATATAACTGAAACAACTGCAACAAGGTAAAACAAAACCACAACAGAATAAAGAGAAAAATAAAGGAGGGGGAGCAAACCAAAAGGAGCAGAACAAGAACAAAGTGTAAAGAATAAAATAAAATTAGAAAAATAAAAGATTTATTAGAAAAAATAAAAATATAAATGTATCAACAACAAGGTAAAACAGAACCCCAACCTAAAAGAAAAAAAAACACAAAGTGCTGGGGCTATGGTGGGCGGAGTTTAGGCGGGGGTGGGGGGGTGGGGGTGGGACTTAGGCAGGGGTGGGGTTTAGGGTGGGGCAGGACCTAGGCAGGGCTGGGGTGGAGGGGTGTGGTGGGGTGATGTTTAAGTGTGGGGCGGGGCCTCTGCTTAGGACCTGCACCGAAGGGGAGAGGCAGCACATCCAAAGGGGGGCTTCCAGAGTGTGGAGTTCCGGAGTTTGGCGGTAGGGCTCTGGGTGAGGGTGTGTGGGTGGGGTTCAGGCCAGCGCAGTTGGAGGGAGGGGGTTTCCGAGTGTAGAGGTGGGGCCCTGGGTGGGGGTGTAGGGGCTGGGCTTGGGGTCTGCATGGCAGGAGGGAGGCTCTGAGGGCAGAGGATTAGGTCCGGGAGCCTGTTGGGACCTAAGTGGACAGGGAAAGCGCTGGCTGCGTTCCCTTCCGTTCCTCTGCCCACCTCCCCCAGGGTCTCCCACGAAGCCACTGGACCCCTATCCGTGGGTGTGTCCTGCTGGATGTAGGAATTCCTCCACTCCCCCAGCTGCCCCTTAGGGGTGCCGGTCCTGTAGGTCTGGCATTTACTTTTGCTCCCCCTTCCCTCCCTCTCACTCCCTCAGGATCCAGGCGGCTGGGGGGGGGGGATCCTGAGGGGGGGTCTCAGTGGGCAGAGGATCAGGCCTGGGATCTCAGCAGGCTCCCTGGGGGCCGAGGTGGGCAGGGAAAATGGTGGCCATGCTCCCTTTTGATCCTCTGCCCTCCCAATGGTCCCCCCCTTCCTCCTGTGGGCGTGGCATGCCTTCCCCTCCCCCAGCCTCCCCTCAGGGGCACCAGTCCTGTTCCGCCTCCACTTCTCCTCCCCCTTCACTTTCCCCCATGCCACATGTCCTACCCGATTGCTGGGGGTTCCTCCCGTCCCCTTAGGTGTCCATGGTCCCCCAACAGTGCATGGTAGTTGCCCTAGTTGTGCGGAGACTCGAATTTCGTGTCTGCCTAGTCTGCCATCTTGACTCTGCCCCTGAAGGTAATTTCTTAAGGGCATTTGCCTTCCAGGTTCCTGAGCCTGGGGCATCCTTGGCCAAAAGTCATGTCTATGTATCCCAGTGCCCACCCACTGTCTTTTCAGATCACCCAGACTGTCTGAATAGTCACCCGATGGTGACAGCTTCCTGGAAGGGTCCCAACCTAATTGGTTTGTGGTATCCTAGAGAAGGCAGCTCTCTATTGTGGGTGAACCCTAATGGCACTGGAGAGGGGCCCTCCAGAACCAGCCCCATCTCCCACTGACACTCATGAGACCCCCACAATCCACAAAGCAATGGTTTGGATTTTGTAATTAATAGTTTGTCTTTTATAAGATGGTTTTGGCATAGGGGGTGCCAATACACAGTCTCTTTGAAGCATTGGCGGGGGTCCAGGAGTTGCTTCTAGTTTTTAAGTAGGGCATGTTTGGATAGCAAGAAAAGGAAGGCCTGTCTAGCATTGTGATTAGAATAAGAAGGTGGTAGGAAGGGTTAGCCTCAGGGAAACTTATTTTATACAAGTTGTTTTGGCAAGTTCAGTAAAAGGGAGGGAATTCCAGGGGTAACAGGACAGAGTGGAAAGTACACTAGCCTTGAAGTCCAGCTCCCACATGCCAAGTCCCGGCTCTGCTACTAACTGGTTGTATGATCCTGGGCAAGTCACTTCACCATGGGAGCCTCAATACTCTCCACTATGAAAGGTTGAACAAAATGATTTCTGGACCCCAGCAACAACATTCTATGAGACTATGGGATTCAGAGGCTCCTGGAAGGAAATAGGAAAGCCCCCCTCCTCTTCATCCACTGCTCCCTTCAAGAAGTTGACTACTGTGTGTTGCAGAGTGAATGTTATTCTTTAAAAGAATGAGGGTTTCACTTGTATCTATCTAGGAACAAATGGCCCAAAATGCTTTTTGTGCCCATTCATTCATTAAATTATTCTCTGAGCACCTTCCAGGGCTGAGGAAAGCCGGCAAGTCCAAATCATCTTTCAGGTTCACACTCAAAGCTCTCCTCTACAATGCTTTCCTGCTCACTGGCACACTTTCCTTCTTTTCTGTAGTCATAGCATTTAGCATCTGTTCAACTCATTTCATAATTCATCCTATAACCCATAGAATTTACCAGTTAAATTGTTACTTTATGTATCTCAAGCCTTGCTCTCACAGCCTTATTTCATTAATTCATTAATCCATTTATAGAGACATTTGTCATGTCTCTATAACTAGACTGTGAGAGCTCAAGGGTAGGAACTGGATCTTATGCTTTGTATCTCCCACAGAGTCAAGTTCAGTGTCCTGTTCACCGTTAGTGCTCAATTAATGATCCTTAACTGATTGGTTCATTAGCACTGTGGATGTACAAAGGCATGAAAGAGGAAGCTCTTGTCCTCAAGAAGGATTCAGTCTAAATGAAGGATACAGTCCAACCTGAAGAGTTACATGACAATGCAAGCAATATCCCTTGGCCTGTGATTCATTGTAAATAAATGCAGTAGGCCAGTGATTCCCAAACTTTGTACCTTGAATCCCTTGTAATTTATGGGTTGAATTGAGCATCAAAAATCCATATAAGATGGGCTTCCCTGGTGGCGCAGTGGTTGAGAGTCCGCCTGCCGATGCAGGGGACATGGGTTCATGCCCCGGTCTGGGAAGATCCCACATGCCGCAGAGCGGCTAGGCCTGTGAGCCATGGACACTGAGCCTGCGCGTCCGGAGCCTGTGCTCCGCAACGGGAGAGGACACAACAGTGAGAGGCCCGCGTACTGCAATAAAAAAAAAAAAATCCATATAAGATGACTCAGACACATCTCAGAAGGTGCATATATTTGCTGTTCAAATATATGTTATGATTGGCGAAATATATAGCTACTTAAAAGCCTGGGATTCTATGCTATCCTTTAGTCATCATGAATTTTTATAATAGGTTCTAAAAGAACAATTATTGTCATGTGGGTTATGAGAACATTTTGTTGAAGTTAAAAAAGAGAAATTATCATACCCAAATAGGGTTGTTCAAACCACTGGCATAGACAGCCAAAATTTAGAAAAGAAAATGAACATATTAGCCTAGGTGGGTCAAAGGATGTTTGTTTTTTTTTTTTCCTGAAAGAGATGGGATTTGAATTGATCCTTGAATAATGATTAAGTTTTTAACAGCAAGGGCATATCTGAGGTTCAACACATTTCACATGTCCCAATGTATATAAAAGAAGAAAGGCCACAAGACTCATACCTACATGCTACAGTTCTCTCCATGACAGGTCATGATACTTCAAGAGCAGAAAGTACAGAGATGAACTGGAGCATAGGTGGATGTAGACCTCACGTTACTTAACTTAAAGAACATCCAGAAAATTAGCAAAGGCACGAGAAACCATTCACCTTAGCAATGTATACCAATCAATCAGACTTTAAAACTTACTTGTTTCCGATTATTTTTTAAGTGCATCTTCTAAGCACTGTAGACAACTGTACACATCCTCAAAAGTTAATGAGGGAAACGTGTACAAGGAATTATGTATACAGGATTGTACTGAAGTACAATGGCTTTTATTTGTCATCAAAAGTGGATGGAGAAATGGGTATTAGTCCAAGATTTTCCAACAAACTAGCTGTGAATCACTTCTTGGGCACAAGTCACATCATTTTTCTAGGCTTTGATCCGACATAATGAGGGGTTGGACCAAAGAATCTTTCAGGTCTCTTCCTGTTGGCACGTTTCTGCCTTTTGGATGGTGACTGTGGTAGGAAGAGCCATCTGTCCGCAGGGGAGCTGGATGGTCCCACTGCTCAGGCCTCTGTCCTAGGAGAAGTGGACAAGGGAGTTACCCAAAATGGTGAGCAGAGGAAAAGCAGATGACTTTCCCAACGCATCTGCAAAAAGTCCCGAAAGGCTCTCATTCCTACAGTAATCCTTTTGTGAAAGTTGTTCTCTTTGCAAGAGGTAACACTTCACACTCTCCCTTTCTGACTTTTTCCTTTAGGTTAAAATTTGCCAGGGAGCCTGATTTCTTTCTTTCTTTCTTTCAACTTGGTTTCACTCACATCACAGCTGCTTGTTCACTCCCCTGCACTCTGGAAGGAGATCACATAAATTGACCTAGGTCTTTTGGAAGACTTTTCTGCATGAAGGATCACAGGCTTGAAAATATTCATACCCCTTTATCTTATAATCCTAAGATAGCAATCTTAAGGAAGTAATTCTATAATAAATGTCATTAAACATTCAGGATAAAGATGTTCATCATCAAGTTGTATAATTTATAATTGTAAAATATTAGAAGCAACCTCAGAAGAGGGGGATGGTTAAGTCGTAGATTATTGAAGCGATGAAATATTGTGTTGACAAATGGTCTTAAAGAGTTTGAAATAAAAACTTGGAGACTGCTTATTTTCCAAAGTGATAAGTGGCGAGAGTGGGAGACAAAATTGATTGTATGCTATGATTTTAACACTGTAAACCAAAAAAATGAATAAAAAATATCCAAAAAAAAATCAAAATGTTAGCAGTGGTATTTCTGGAGGCTGGGATTCTTTCTGGCTCCTATTCATCTATTTTTTTATCAATAAGCTCTTATTATCAGAATAAAAATATGATTCAAATATAAAGAAACAAAATGACAAAATATTAACAATGAAACCTCCTAATGAAGGGAATACGATTGTTATTTATTTTCTTCTTAATATTTTTCTGCATTTTCCAAGTTATATATTATTTATATAATCAAAGAAAAATAATTTAAGACAGCCCATGGTGCAGGAGACCCTCCCAGGATGATTCTCATGGGGCTCCCACACCAATTCCCCACCTCCACGGTGGGCCTGATGAAATGGTGGAGTACAGCTCATCAGCAGCTCAATGGCCTGCCAAAGTGACCCAGGCCAGAAGGTGCTCTACTGTGCTTGTCTCTAAATTTAGACTACAGGTGGCAGGAAGGACACAGGAGGAAGTATGAAGACCCAAGGGGGTGGCTGCTTAGCAAGTCTCAGAAACTTAAATCCAGGTTGTGCTGTTGAATGGAAACGGCACTTCCAAACTTCTTGGCCAACCAGTGCCGCTTGTTTATCCTGAGAACTGGAGGTGGACTCACCAGTCCACATGAATGCCCAGCCCATGTACCACCAGCAAGAGTCAGCCGAGGCCAGTTGCCAGCTGGACAGGTGACTCCATTAGAGATGTAGGGGTGTGCTCTGCCCCTTCCCTCTGCTGCTCTAAAGACAGGCAGACTCCAGCTGCTGGGAGGTCAGATTCCCAGCAGATTCCAGGCTGGACAAAACCCAGGAAACAGGAGTTCTGCCCTTCATCACAAACATCTGGCTCTGCAGTGGGAGGCACATTTGTCTTCCAGCTCTTCCACTAACTAGCTGGGGGACCTTGGACAAGTGGCATGATTTGTGCCTCAGTTTCCCCATTTATCCTCGAGATGGGACCTGGCATATAGCTGATGCTTGATAAATGATGATAAAGGGTAAGATAGGGTGGGTCTCATCAAGCAGGCCCCTGGGGAATGCTCACGTCGGCTTCTCCCCCTTGAGAAGAGACATATGGTACGGCATTCCCTTGCCCTACCACACCCATACCCCGCTTACCTCAGACCAGTTCTCTTCTGTCCGAGGAGGCACTTTTCTGGCTTTCCTCTTGGTAGGCAGACACAAAATGGACAACCCAGCCTACAATTAGGCATTACTCAGTCTTGTCTCCAGTGTCACCAGCCCAACTTCATTCAATACCTGTTCAAACACATGTTAAAGAAATAGGTAATAAGCAGAGCTGGAAACGTATGTGAAAGACCCAGTACTTGCCCTTACCAAGCTCACTGCTCAGCCAGAGGAGAGAGAACTAGTTATGATTGAAAGTGCTACGTATGAAGCAGAAGCCTGTACCAAGTGCTCCCTGGGGGCCTCGGATTGAGGGGATGGGAGAGGGGGATGGGAAGGGTGAGACAAATCTTCACCTTTTTTTTTTTTTTCGGTACACGGGCCTCTCACTGTTGTGGCCTCTCCTGTTGCGGAGCACAGGCTCCGGATGCGCAGGCTCAGCGGCCTTGGCTCGCGGGCCCAGCCGCTCTGCGGCATGTGGGATCTTCCTGGACCGGGGCACGAACCCACGTCCCCTGCATCGGCAGGCGCACTCGCAACCACTGTGCCACCAGGGAAACCCCAAATCTTCACCTTTGAAGGGATGCTGGAGGAGGAGCAATCTGCCTGACAAATGGTTCACAGTTGAATGAGAACTAAAGGAAGAGGACCTGGTGACAAGAAAGGGAAAATTTGCCTGTTCCAGGGATAGAGTGAAGAAAGCCGGGAGCAGGGAGTGGAGACCCTAAATGTCAGCAAGAGAGTGTGTGCTGTCGGGGAGAGGGGCTGGAGCACCTGTCCGGGGGGTCAGGCATGGGAGATGGTGCAGAGATGCTGTTAGGAAACCAGTGGAGGCTGAGGTGAGCCTTTGAGTTGTTATGGGGTTAAACAGAGACACACTGCAAGGTGCAGGGAGCAGAGGAATCCTGGGAAATAAGCTGCAGGACTCTTAAGAAATCCCAGGGAGAGCTTTGTTGTCACAGGCGGGGGGCTGGGGGGCTGGTCAAGAGCTAAGCTGGCAGGAGCCCGCCTAATGGCAGGGTTGGGGACAGCAGAGCTTCCACTACTGGTGGGCAGGGTAACAGGAGCTGCTTTTCTCTATCTGGCTCACAATCTTGCTTCCTCTAACATATTTCTGTCCTCGTCGTAAGCGTGATGTTATTACGTTATCTTTAAAGATCTGGAAAGGCCCCCACCCCCATTTCCCACCAGCCCTACCCTGCTACACTGCCTCTGGTCACACACAGTGGAGTCCAGGCTTGAGCCAAGTGTAACCAGCCCACAACAGCCAAGAGGACCCCAGGGGACCTTAAACATAAAAGGAAAACGACAGCACATCAAGGCATTCCCAAGGGGCCAGCCAAGTGAATGTTGAACCCATGCACATTTCTCAAAGCACGCGAAGAGGGATAGGAGAGCTCCCCTTGGGTGGGCCTGAGGGAAAAGATAAACAGAAAGGAAAGTCAGCATTCAGGCGAGACGGATGCAGGGAAAATGTCAGAGCACCCTGTGAGATGGAATAGTGTACCCACAGCTCTCTGTCACTTTGGATCCAAGGCTACAAGGGTCCCTGGTACCACAGGGGCTTCCTTTCAACTACTGGAGTAGAGACAGGGGCATATCAGGAGCCAGCCCTGGTGACCAGTCCACCCTGGGAATTCAAGCAGAGGAGGGCGCATGGCGTCAACTGATGCCTGGGTTTTGTGGATGTAGAGGGCGAGTGTGTGTGTGTGTGTGTGTGTGTGTGTGTGTGTGTGTGTGTGTTTGTGTGTGTGTGTGTGTGTGTGTGTGTGTTTAAAATGGAGTTTGCCCACCTGCTGATCAGGCCCACCAGTAACAACTGCTCCAGCAGTTGGGGATTTGGGGGCTTCCTCTGAGCCCAGTGTAGCTTATTTAAGTCATCTGTCTGCTGGAACTTAGTTACAACGAAGGTTTAGTAGGATTCTTCCTGTGGCTGCTGTGGTTAAACAGAGATTCCTTGTAAATGAAATCTGAAGAGTAAGTCAAAATAAGCCCGGTGGGGCTTCCCTGGTGGCGCAGTGGTTGAGAGTCCGCCTGCCGATGCAGGGGACACGGGTTCGTGCCCCGGTCCGGGAAGATCCCACATGCCGCAGAGCGGCTGGGCCCGTGAGCCATGGCCGCTGAGCCTGCGCGTCCGGAGCCTGTGCTCCGCAACGGGAGAGGCCACAGCAGTGAGAGGCCCGCGTACCGCCCCCCCCAAAAAAAAAATAAAAAAATAAGGCCGGAAAACTAGGGATGAGTAACTCCAGGATGAAGCGTGAGCTGGGCGGAGAGGATATCTATGTGGAGCACACAGGCCAGAGTCAAGGAGGCGGTGGCTTCCTCAGCCCTGAGCCAGGGTATGGCATCCTGCCCTCTCCCCATCCCACCACTGTTCTATAGGGAGTGGGTCTTCTTTACAGAATTCTTGAGCATGATTGAACTTCAGTAATCATAGTCAAGCCCCCTTGTTTGTCAAAGTACAATTTTTTTTATTGCTTTCTTTTTCAAAAGCACCACTGCTCATTAGAGAAAAGTTAGAAAATAGAGACAAGTGAAAAGAAGAAATGGTAAAATACCCATAATCTCACCTACTTTGAACGATCACCAATAACACCATGTTAGATAAGTAAAGTATCCCCCTAGATAAATAAAGATTTCTTTTTACAATTTGTATAGCATTTTACACCATGAACACCATGTTTGATAATTAGAATACCCTCCTCAGGAAATATATATCTGTATATATGTTATTATATATAAGAAATATATATTGTACTATATATAATATATAAGGTACTATATGTATTATGTATAATATAATTATATACACACACACAAATGTATCTTTTTAAAGCAAAAATGGGTTCATCCTGTCTATACTGTTATTGTGATTTTTTCCCCTGTCTTTTACCTAACATTTTCTGTGGTTGTAGATACATTTCTCAACATCATTTTAATGCCTGCATACATTTCTATTACCTGAAGTACTAAGTTTTTTTAACCAGTCCCCCGTTGCTAAACACTTAGGTTATTCCAACTTTTTCTCTATTAATAACAGTGTTGTAAAGAACATTCATGCAGCTAAATATTTGCATAAATTCTTAATGCTTTTTTGTAATCCATTCCCAGAAGTCAAATTGCTTGCAGCTTCTTGATTTCCATATGTTAGGAAAATGAAACCCAGAGACTGGCCAAAAGTACTACAGAAAGTATAAAAGGTGGTGGGGTGGCAGAACAGACAACCCAGGACCAGAGCCCGGGCCTACCGGCTGTTTGCCCTGTGCGAGACGAGGAAGGGACTCGCCAGATTCCTCTGACAGTTGGTGTCAGAGGATGGGGGCCAGCTGTGCAAATGGGGGATACAAATGTAGTACAACTTCTTGTAAAAGCAAAGGCTCTGAATTCAGAGTCATCTATGGGAGCTACTCATCTCCTAGAGACCCAGGTCTGGGGTGCTCTTGGGATGTGTACTACATGTATCAGACCTGTCAGCATTTACCTCCTTGGATGTTGCGTCTGCATCCCTTCTTTCTCTCCTGCTGGCCACCGGCAGGATGAACTGGGATATAAATGTTTTTTGAAGTTTTATAGGAATTTCCTTGCCTATTACACAGTGGATACTTCTCACTTAACATCTCTGCCCTGAAGGTATTTGGAGGACAATTCAAAGGCCTCAGAACAGAAAAACAAATTTTCGTATTTGTTAGAAAGCAGGGTAAGATTCCTCCCATCCACCACCCCCCACCCCACCCTCCTAGTACAATTTAAACTGAGCCACCTAGTGACCAAATCTGTAAACCAATGACCTTCCCCACTGAGGAGGGAGGTGGCTGGGTAGGAAGGGGTGCTGGGTCAGGCAATAGAGGAATACAGGGGCGGGGCGGGGGTGGTGTAGAAGAAAGGAGAGGGCATGCAGTGAGTCGACAGAGGGTTAGCCTGGGAGTGAGCAGACTGGGCTCCAGCTCTGCCAGTGCTGTGTGGCTTTGAAGAAGTTGCTTTCCTACTCTGGTCCCGTTTCTTCATCAATTAACCAGGGGCACCAGACCAGATGAGTTCTAGTGTCCCTTTCTGCTTTAGCTGCTCCGCTGTTTTCCTCCCTCATTTGATAAAATGTGTTTAGTAACATGGTTTAGAGCATTCCTTTTATGACTTCTGACAATCTTTTGTGTTTTCTGAATCTTATAGATGAGTATTGATCCTGCACTAATGCCATGGAAAGACTCCAAGGCAAACTTTGATGTTCTGATGCCGGTGTCGAAGTCCTTCAGTCACCTCTCCTATAGCAACAAGCCCTCGTTTCTAGTTGACCACGCCCCCTGTATTTAAAACCTAGCACATGGGGGCCCCTAGGAGTGAGGAATGTCCGCCTCACACATACTTGGATACTTCCCCACTTCTTCCTCCTTTCTGCAATGCCTTTGGGTCACCGGGGACTACAGAGTTGGCAGGGAGATTTCATCCAACATGGCAGCCTAATCAAGGGTTATACTGAAAAGCGCTCTAAGCCCCTCCCATTCTCAACCAGAAAGATCACCATGTCTGCCCTGAGGAAGGAATGTGGGAAGCAGTGGCATCACCATTTCTCACCCTCCGCGACCTTCTCTATGAAAACCAGCATGTTTGTTCCGGTTCCAGCTTTCCGAAGGGTTCCTGTGCTCCACGATGGAGATACAGAAAACCAGCTGTCTCAAGGAAGATGAGCTGAGGGGGAAGGAGGGGTTGTAAAGCAGGGCTGCCTGGCACCCGAAGCCTGCTCACAGCTTGGAGGCAAGTTGTCTCCTATCACCTGTACACTTGACTTCCTCAGATTTTCTCCTCTTAGGTGGTGGCTTATCCTCTCCAAGCCTTCTCTTTATGTTCATTTAAAATTTTCTCCCGCGTCACATTTTGCTTTGAGGAGGTAGGGTGGGTACTCACAGGGCGATTGGCTCCAGGCCTCTGTTTATCCATCAGGAGGATGCTGGCTGGATCATTTATGGCCCGGAAATTGGAACTTCAAAGAGAATCCGCTATCTTCTGGCAACAAAAGATTTAGAAGCTGGCACACAGGGAAATGTTTGATATTTCCCCTCATTCTTTCCATGGGAATACAAAGTAAAGCAAGTTCAAAATGGCTATTAGTGGAACTGTAAGATGTGGAGTAGAAAACCCCAGCAGGGTTTGAAAGCAGACTTCCGAGACCTGGAAGGAGCATGCAGCTCAGTTCGTGGCTGTGTGAGTACTGGACACGCCAAGATCTAGAACTGGGAAGCTGGAGCTATACTTTCAGCCTTGTCACTCACTGAGAAAGTCACTTCCCCTCTCTGGGCCTCAGTTTCCCCATCTGTTATCTGCCCTGCCCACCTCAAAGGGTCTTGGGGATGATCTAATGAGAGAAAGGATGTGAACATGCATTGGAAAGAAGGCTCAAGAGCTATATAAAAGGAGGGAATGATTGTTTGTTTTCGTAAGTGGAGTTGTCTCTTTGCCATCACTGCTGGAGAGCTGTTTGGACCATAAGTATTTGGCCTCTGAACTTTCTCTCTGGACCGGAGCAGCTGTGGGTGGCAGGAATGTGGGGAGGGAGGAAATATCAGAGTTAGCAAGCATGGGCCTCAGTCTAGGACTTGGCCAGGTTTCTAGGGGGAAAAAAAAAGTCTCAAGTAGCTCTTTGTGGTCATGAAGAACACACTTATGTGATTGTTTTGAATGTTTTAGAGTCTGAAGAAAATCTTTAAGGGACATATCATAATGGACAACAATAGAGTTACTCATCGAACCAAGGCTGCACAAAACCACACGGAATGGGGAATAGAAGAAATTATCTAAACAGTTCAACACTCCTCATCCTTCTCACATGTACACGCACGCAGGTGCAGAGATTATTTCATCCACCATGATTCAAATAGCAGTTTGAACTCTTCCCTCTTTGCACCTACTCAGAGCCTTTCCAGTCTTCAAAGTGCTTCCCAATTTCTTTGTCATTTTATACTCTGTGCCAAGCACAGTATCTGGCACTCAGTAAGTTTCTGATCAATGAAGTACCAACCAGTCTGGCGTATATGGTTACAGAAGTGGCCCCCAATGAATCATGCCTCTCTGAATCCATGTCCTTGTGTAGGTTCTTCTACATTGACTCTAGGCTTGGCCACATGATTTGCTTTGGCACCAACAGGACCTTAGCAAACGTGATACAAACAGGGGCTTGAAAAACACATCAGAACGTGCACACCATATGAAGTAGCCTGTGCCAGGCTGCTGGAGACGCATGGCCAGTCATCAGCCAGCTCCAACTGCCATTCATGTGAGCGAGGCCGTTTTAGGCCCTCCATTCCCTATCAAGCCACCAGACGTCTGCAGCCAAAGTCAGCAGAATGCTTGCCCAGGTGAGCTCAGCCCCAGTTGTTGACCCATAGAATCATAAGAAAATATAACTGTAGTTTTAAGCCACTGAATTTTAGTGTTGGCATGTTATACAGTAACAGATAATTGAGATACTACTTCTTTGTAAAAAATATAGAGAGACACCTTTAGATTAGGAATGATAAATAGGTTACATCTCATCTATTAACTTTATTGATTCGTAGTGCTTTCCTGGAAGGCTGTGTTGAGAAGAATTTGAGGACAACTTAACGGAAAAGAAAGCCAAGGTTCCAGTAACGTGTGCAGAGAACATGGGCGGGAATAGTGGCAATACGTCTGGTTAGATTTGCCATCCTTGTTCCATATTATCAATCAGAGATCAATGAATAACGAAAGCAGAATAACCAAAGTTAAATGTTAAGTGGGCTAATTGGAAAGGGGATTTTCCAATGAATTAGGTAACATCTCCCTGGAACAGTGATGAACTCAACCAGATTTAATGACATCACCAGCGAACACAGTTCTGTGACTAAGGAAAGCCACAATGTGGGACTCCAGCTGGTGACCCAGGTTTCCTGGGGGCAGTCACAAGTGGCTTTATTATGGCCACAGATCTCTTCATCAGCTTCATAGGCCCAGAAACACAGTCCTGCTAGTGCATCTGGAGCTGACTGGGCTCTTGGGAAGAGATCTACAAGAACCACATTCATGGGATACTGACAGCAAAATAAAATGTGAGGACATTCCAAGGGTTCAACAAAGCTTATCTGCTCCCCAGACTAAATTAGTCATCAAAAAGGCTCAGTCCGGGCTTCCCTGGTGGCGCAGTGGTTGAGAGTCCGCCTGCTGATGCAGGGACACGGGTTCGTGCCCCGGTCCGGGAAGATCCCACATGCCGCGGAGCAGCTGGGCCCGTGAGCCATGGCCGCTGAGCCTGCGCGTCCGGAGCCTGTGCTCCGCAACGGAAGAGGCCACAGTGGTGAGAGGCCCGCGTACCGCAAAAAAAAAAAAAAAAAAAGGTAAAAAAGACTCAGTCCCACGAAGAGGATGGAATGAGAGGAAAGGAAGTGGGAAGGTTCAGAGCGAATATTTCACATGAGTCAGGAAAGGCGGATAAAATACCTCTGTCTGACAACAGTGCCCTCTCCCCAGCAGTAGGACAACCTCAGACCCTCAGGTCCAGTGCCTGTCTCCCTTGAGAATAACTGGGGGCACACTGGCCACTTGTAGACATTGATTCCTCTTGCAACATCTCTGCAGATCCCATTCCTTCTGAGAGACATGCTTCCCCAGACAAGTTAATATAATTGACTAAGCCATCGCTCCTTTTCTATTCAGAAGCACCTTCTGGGGATTCAACCTTAATTAGAGTTTGTTTTCCCAAGTTCCTAACTACCCATCGCCACCTTGATTTATAAGGCATCTTGCCCCTTCAAAGATTTCTATGTAATGCGTTGATTTTGTCTGTCCATCCAACCATCCATCCATCCATCCATCCATCCATCGTTTCACTGATTAATTCTGTAAATACTTAATATACACTCAGGTGCTGGGAGACACAAAGAGGAACAAGGCGTGGGCCCTTCAAGGAGTCACAAAGGTGAGAAAGGAGACAGGAATCCAGGTGGGAGACCAGTCTTAGACAAGTCCAGGGAAGACATGAAGATACTCTGACCAAGACTGAGCGGAGGTGATAGGGAAGATGGGGCAGATATCAGAGGAAGAGGGTGTTAAGGAGAGAAAATGGCAGGTGACTGCCTAGTGGGCAGGTAGTGAGGAGACCAGGGTAATAAAAATGATGGTTAACGACTAAGCATTATTAGTGTCATCATTATTATTATTAATAGCCAGTGTTTATTGAGCACATGAACCATGCCAGGTACTATTCTAAGCCCTTTCTATGCACGAATTCACTTAATACTCACAATCCAGAAAGACAGGATCTGTCATGATGTCCGTATTTCAGGTGAGGAGGCACAGAAAAATAAGTAACTTGTCCAAGGTGACACAGCTAGTAAGTGTCAGGGGTAGGATGACCCTCAGGTGACCAGTTCAGTGTCCACAAAGATAGGAAATATGGCAGGAAGATACACAGAAAAGTTTTAGAAATGCACAATTTAGGAGGCCTGGGACCATCCCAGTGGAAGCTCCCGTAGGGAGCTGTGTGTACAGGACAGAGGCCAAGGAGAGCGTCTGTGCTGGAAACATGAACTTAGACACCATCAGCGTCCACAAGCAGTGGTGGAAGCCATAGGTGTGGTGTGGAATGTCAAGGACAGGGCTGAGGTCAGGACCTGGGAGAGGCCCCAAGAGTGAGGGGGCATTTGGAGAAAGAGGAGCCTGGTGGGGAGTATGGGAAAAAATGATTAAGGAGGTAGGATATGAACCAGGAACGGGGGGGCATCACAGAGCGTGAGGGAGTGAAGAGTTTCAAAAAAGAGGCAATGCTTCCCTGAGTCCCAAGCCAGCAGGGAGCATATGAAGAGGCCTGAAAGCAGCCAGTAGATCGGACATTCAGGAGGTGTGACAACTAGCGACCTTGACAAGCACAGTTTCAGTGGCATGAACCCCAGCTCCCAAAGCACCCGGGTCAGTGGTTCTCAAACACTGTTGCAAAAAACCCTCCCGGTAGTTTATTAAAATGCAGATTCCTGGGAACTACCCCCAGAGAGTTGGATTCAAAAAGCTTGAATTTGGGCCCCAGAGTCCGAATATTTAACAAGTCCCATCTCCCGACCTCTATTCCCAGGTGATTCTGATATAGTTGATTTACAAGCTCTATTTTGATAAGCACTGCCCTGAAGACACAAGCATTTCTTTTCCCACCTGCCCCAGGTTCTGGCTTCCCGTTAAATGGGCCACAACCTCCTGTGAGAGATCAACGTTGTGAGTGACCAACCTTTGCAGTTCACACCTTCCCACAGGGGCCTCGCCCCACAGGCCCTTTGGCATAAATCGTATTTCAACACTATAATTAGCAAAACTTTCATACATACTACAGACACACACACACACACACACACACATTCATGTGCACACACGGAATAGGAGAAAGAGAAACGTTTATCTCAGAGACTTATAAGCAAATAAATACACAGGACTAATTCAATGAAGGAGAGGAGGAAACTAGAACAATAAAAAAAGGATATGGTCAAATGAATCAAAAACCACCAAAGAGAGCATATAAATGAAGTTATGGAAATTTATATTTACTCTTATAATACATTTTTATTTACTCTTAGGAAAAAAGGGCCAAAGGAACACAGAGGAAGGGGTAACAAATTCAGCTTGGAGGACTTGGTTAAGGCAGCCTTGAGAAAGTGACATTTGAGTTAGGCTTTGAAGGGTGAATAAGAGTTCCCAAGGAAGAAAGGGAACAGAATTCCAGGCAGAGGAACAGCAAGTGTGAAAGTAGGGAGGTAGGAAGGAGCACAGTGTTTCCAGGAAAGATAAGGTTAGCGTGGCTGGGATAGAGGAAATAGGGTGGAGGGAGGGAAAAGCAGATGGAGTAACAGTGAACTAGGCTGGAAAGCTACCCTGGACCACCCACCCTTTGGAGGCTCTCTGATACATGCTAAGGAATTTGTACTTGATCTTGGAAGAAATGGAGAGTCCGTGTGGTTTTGAAGCAGGGGCTCTGTCTTTTGTTTCCTGGAGCTGCGAATATCACAGTGGGGAAGCTGGCAGATCTCGTCCCTTCTGCCTACTATAGCGTCCAATAGAGGGGAGATCTCTATTAGAGACAGAATTCTGAATTCACATGGTACTTGCAGACAGAGCTTTTGAATTTGCTTCTCCTGAGCTGTGGAACCTGCAGACTATCATTTGGGAAAGAAACCATGGGGAATGAGGAGGGAGAAACAGAGTGGGGAGAAAGTACCCTCGACTCCAATTCCCCAAATGGAAAAAAAGAGAAGTATAACATCTCCTTGGCTAAACATGGATTTAAAATAATCACAGAAAATAAAGTTTCATTTTTGCAGGATGGGCTAGGGGAGGAGAACTAAAAATGATCAAAGAACAACAAAGTAGAAAAAACAAGCAGAGGAGGAAAGAATATAAAAACAGGAAGTCCTCCATGAGGTCATTAGCACAGGCCCCAGGGGCTGATTCTCTGGAGGTCATGGGGTGGGGTGGGGAGAGAGAAAGCTGGGGTACAGCCCTTTTCTCATAGCTGTGGGCACTAGAACAGGCCAGACATGGGATCAATGCCAGACACCCCTGGGAAATTCCACAAAAGAATTATTTCTAAGTGGGCTGGGGGAGGAGTAATCTCAAAGCTGCCCACTGGGCCTTGGGGTGAAGTAGGAGGCAGCATCTGAATTCAGGTCAGAAACTGAGCCCTGTGTCTGGGTCTCTGTGACTCTGGGCAAGGGTCTCTGCCTCTGTAGGTCTGTTTCCTCATCTGGGATTTAATGTGATTGGCCAAGCCTCCATGCATGGTGGCTAAAGGGCACATTAAAATCCAGCTGTACACTTTGGGGTGAGCTGTGACCAGGAAAAGAGTGTTTTACTTTTCTAATTTACACTCAAGCGTCGTTCTGCCAGCCAAAGCCAGAGCCATAGGGCTGTGACCACCCAGAGAGGTACCTTTTTCTCATTCATATGTAGGTGCTTCACGGGCTGATGGTGGCCCTGAACGGGGGTGTGAATGGAGGTGCAGTGGGCTAGCTTGGAAAAATCGGCTAAGGCCTACCCGTGGAGGGTCTTGGATGCCATGCTAAGGAACCTGGACTTAGTATTAAAGGAAATGGAAAGCAAATGTGCTCGAGCCCACTGGCCTCCCACCAAGCTCTTTTCCTGGCCCTGCTCAATGGAGAGGCTCTACTGAGGCTGTCACCCACCTCCTAACAGAGCAGGCTGCCTCAGCCACCGCGGAGTGAGCCCTGGGTTTGGGCATGACCTTCATTATGTCCCCTGTGATGGGAGGAGCTGAAACAGCCCCCGGACCCATGTCCATCCTGACCTGGACCCACTGAATTTGGCCCCATAGCTGCCCGGAGGGCCCAGCTACACAACCTGTAAGTACAAGAGAGTTAGTGCCCCACAGGGTGAATTTTGACCAGAGAGAGACCCACAACAGGAGGAAGCAACCGAGAGATTCCTAACTCTTCTCCCCGACAGACCGTTCCACAGTGCCGTGGTTTCGTGTGGTCTCCTGGAAACATGCAGCATGGCTGAACCGTCCTTTTGATTCCTGTGGCGCCACAGCCAGCTCAATAATGGACCACTTTGCATTTATTCTGCTCTCTGTCTGCCCCACTTCCTCTATCTCTCAGTCTCAGCCTTGGGATTAACTCCCCTCCCCATAAAGCTTTACAAATATAAGCTTTGCCTCTTGTTTTTTAGAGAAAATGGGCCAAGACCAGGGCTGGTATCGGCCCTCTTGCTGACCCTGGCCAATGAGACCTTGCCAATTAGCATACGACTCTTCTTGCCCCTGAGTTGTTGGAACAAACTCATACTTGTTACAGCCATTTGGGCCGTAGAATCAAGAGGGCACGGAGTCAAACAGACTGGGGCTCAAATTCTGGCTTCAGCGCTCACTAGTTCCGTACATAAACTTGGGTGATGACTTCTTTGAGTCTGAGTTTCCTCTTGTGTGAGATGGAGATCATAACACTTCATGGAGTTGGGGATGATTAAGTGAACTGAGATAAGGTGTGCAGAATATTTAGCACATTGCTGGGCACATAGGATGAGCTCAGACAATGCTGTTTTTGTTGTAATGACTGGGACAATTGAAGAGTCGGCATCCAGGAGGCTTTTGAGTCAGTGCTCAGCAACAGCATCTGCAAGAGAGGGACGTACTCAGCCCGAGGGAGAGGCGTGCCTGTGACACCAGGCCTGTCTGGAAGACTTCCCAGACGGGACTCTGAGCATGGCGG